AATGAATTGAATGGTATATTAGAAACCCGACATAAATCAGAAGAAGACTTAAGAGAAGTGAATGATCACCACATGGACACAAACACAGACACTGACAAATAGTTCATAATAAGCGCGCATTTGTTGTCATAAAATATTTGTTATGTTTATTCATAGAAAATGTGCATAAAAGTCTATACAAATAACCCCGGTATTGTACAGCACTCTCAGGCGGAGAGCATTCAGGGCTCTACCGCCAAAAGTTTTGGAATATATATAGTGCCTCAATAATATATTATATGTCATTCAATGTAAACAAATAAATAGCAAATAATTTTTGTGCATAAATGATGTGACAATACGTGTGAGTGAGTTGTCATTCAATTTACTTGTATTTAATGTCAATAGGGGGCAAAATAAAGACAGAATTATAAGACGTTATTGTTTTAGTTAAAAAGTTTTGAAAAGTTTTGGATATTAATCATATAATTTATAATTTATAATAAAAAACATCACAAACAACTCACACATGTCTCAGCAAACATTCTTGCAAATTCTTGTATATTCATGCAAACATCTTGGTACAAATTAGTCTCCAAAAATGGGCCCCCGCAATCGGGTTGGGTGCGGGGCCCGCGATCCGCCTGCGGGTTGGGGCGGGTTGTCCGCAAGCTGTTAAGCGGGGGCTTACGGGAACCCGCCTCGACCCGCAGATTTTATACAATCACTTAATTCATTAAATTTTCGTTTATTTGATGCCATATTCTTGTCGATTGAATAGTGCACATTAATTATTATTAAATCAAACAATTTAACAAAATTAAAGATTACATTACATTTTTGTATTGTTTTGTTATGTCTTGATTTTGGTAGCAAACATGTGGTTTTGGTTTCCATGGTTACTTGTATTTTTTATGGTTGCGGGTCTGAAAAACGGGTTTGGCGGGGGCCCGCGGGTTGGGGCGGGTTTGTAAATGTGATAAAGCTTTCGGGTTTTGATTTTAAAACGGAGGGTTGGGGCGGGTTTAAAGTTTCAGTCAATTTTCGCAGCCTAGTACAAATACAACAAATCGTTTAATACTGTATTTCTAATATAACCATCAAATGAAATGTCTTTTGATTAAGGGGTGGCCTTTTTGCAAGTCTTATATCTGATGGCAATATAATAAATACCCTATACACTTAAAACAATAAACAAAATGTAAAAACTGTTTATTTATATTGAGCGCACACTTGTACTAATTTAAAGTTAATTTACCTAGCAAAAGTGGAAATCAACCAAAATAATCCAGGTTTAACCTATAACCCTAGGATTGGTCAGTTCAGTGCTCTGCTCCTACCCATTGACAGGATTCCCATTCCGGTACAAAGTTGACAATAAGCATATTTATACAATCATATTATTATTTATTAAGTCAAAGTTATATAAACAGTTTTATTTTTAAATGCTATGTTAGCAATTAGAAAGTAATGCCATTAAATAATACAAATATCGAGATTGTCAAAATTGTGTTAAAAATTGTACATTGAAGCAAGGTACTGTATTGAGATTAGACTTACTTATTTACTAGATTAGTATTTGGCGCAGTGTCAATTGCGCTTAAAATTAGTGATTTAAAAAAATAATAGCATTTTGTGAATAAATCATACAGGTCATTGTTGCGTTTAATCCATTATTACTGATCATATATTTAGCCACAATCTCCTCCCCCGCCACCTGAGTCGCAACCACCTCCTGAGTCACAGCCTCCACCACCTGAGTCGTAACCACCTCCTGAAGTATCACAGCCTCCACCTCCTGAGTCATAGCCTCCACCTCCTGAGTAATAGCCTCCGATACCTCCCGAGTCATAGCCTCCACCTCCTGAGTCACAGCCTCCGGTACCTCCCGAACCATTGCCGGAATCGCATACACAACACATACATAATAATCGCATACACAACACCAGCAACAACACAATCGCACCCAGCACTGTTGCAACTAATATAAATATGAACAAAAAAGATAAATCTTGAAAATCTTGAAAAGCCATATCTCACAAGTTTGATATTTGACAAACTGTTCACATTTCATACAATTTATATAACATGTTAAATATGTTCATTAATTGTTTGCAATAGTTTGTGAAATGCAATCATTTCTATGAGTTGTATGCATACAATGCAAGCGATTACTTGTTCATTATGATATTAAACACAAGTTTATAAAAAAAAGTCACTTTTCAATTCAATTCAATTCAATTCAATTTCAATTCAATTTATTTAAAGAGTAATGAATTCACCTGGAATAGTGATGTTCTTTACATCTACTCTATAACTTATACATAACATACGCTATATTAGTGATTACACATACTTTTCTACTAATGATTGTTAAATCAAAGCTATCAACATTTTGATTATGAATCCCATATTAGCAATTAGCAAGGTATTGCATGCAAATGACGCAAACATAGAGAATGTGCCAAAAGTTGTGACAAAACTTTTACATTAATGGCATTGAAATGCATTGAAAATGCGTTCACGCAATGTGTTGTACAAATCGATTGACATTTTGTAATACATGTCACAACATTAGTGTCTCAACACTAGGCCCTAAACCTGTATAATAACTGTACGATTATGTGATTAAAAGGCAAACTGTGTTTTGAAAGCAAAGCCAATGAATGAGTGTTTGAATGGATTTATTAGTAAACAAAGCAATCGTTTGTCAAATATTTGAATCAATTTGACATTAATATTGAATACAATTGTAATTTCAAACTATTTTTTACTACAATTGAATGCAATGCCAGTCGTTGTAAGTATTGATTGAATAACTAATCATTTTTACAAACATACAGTCCATGAATGAAAGGTTGATCACCGGTCAGTGCGATCAGTGATCAACCAATGAATGCATGAATACAATGAGTGATTTCAATGAGTGTAACATATGATGACTGAATGGTGCGGTGATGTGAATGGTATGACAAATGGATGATAAGAAAGCTAAATGTGATGATGTCTTGAAGGGTGAGATCGGTTTCAAACATAGTATTAATAATAACTATGATAATACAGAATTTGGTTTTATTAATTTAAAATACAAGCAATAATATCGACATTACTAGCGCTTATATCTCATACAAATGTATCTAATTCAAACATTACAATTATCTATACCAATATCCATTCCTACATATATTCATACAATTATTTTGTTTTCCAATCAAACATTGTATAACATATTTTAACACAATTTGACAGTTTGTATTGTAATCATAAGCCAATAGTCTGTTATATGATACTCATAAAAAATACTGAAACATTTACTGAAAAATTACAAACAAAATTAATATTGATTCAGAGAAACTTTATACACAAAATAAAGTTTTAATTTTTAAAAATTATTAATATTTATTTGTTGAGGTTTTATAATTGATAAATTCAATCGATGTTTGCGTTGGATAATGCAAGTATTGATATATTAATAAATGTACTTGATATATAATTATTGGTATGGTCAATATAGTAAATACGTTGCGCCAGTTATATTTTAATAATTTCTTAATAGATACTATAACATTTTCAATGAAATTCCTTATGAATTGTATCTGGTATAGTTTTGTATAAATAAGATACAATGCGAATAGTTTTATGCGAATTAATATGAGTCTAATGAGAGCACCAGTATCTATGAATGACATCCCAAACCACAAACCAATGAGTCCTCCGATGTTTGACAGGAAGTCAACGAATGAATACTTTTTCTCTTACTTGTAGTGAAATTTTTGCCGTAATTTGTATTCAATTCGTATTTTGCTGTCATTTCTTGCGGTGTATTCAATGTCTTCTAATTCTAATGAATAGTATTTTTGGTCACAATTCGTATCGCAATCGCAAACATATTTATCCACAAAACTAGTTAAATTAACATAATTTGTATGATTATTATCGCATATCTTATACTGTGTTTGACTGGCATTCAAAAGAATAAATTCTTGATTTATATAAGGATTGGGCAAACATTGATATGACGAGTAATATTTGTTGAAACATTTTTCTCAACATTTATATAGCATTCTAACATCACCTAGATGCAAGACAAATAAAGATTATTTAAACAATACTAAAACAAAATCCACATTAAATCTAAGAATAAATGTTTACTGTTGTTGTAACATTAGGTCGTATTAAATAAAATTATAAAATTTTCCATGATTAAAAATTAATTATATAAACATTTTTCACGATTGGTGCCTGTTATGAGTGAATATTATATTTATTATAATTGTATATGCATATTGACTAGTGTGTAAAAATACCTACTCTACTGTAATGTAAAACCTTAGTATCAAATTTTATATTTAAAATATTATAAATAAATACCGGTTTCCAGACATCTCTTCATATAAGGATTGGACAGCAAATGGAAATGAGTTGTCGTTATCTTCAGTCTCGCATTTAATCCAATTCTCTTCGTATGAATCCATTCATCAGGAGATACCATATGTAAGGGGTTCAGGGGTTTAGTCAATATATAGAACCGGAAATAGTCGGACGAATAGAATATCTCAGTAATTGCATGATAATTCCTTTTGTACGGGATCAATTTATCTATTTTCTCTCGATTTATTTCAAAATATCCGTTAATTAGAAACTTTTGTTGCGTTTCATAATTGATGTCAAACTAAACGAAGTCGTCGTCAATGAGATACTGGTTATCAGTATTTGTATAGAAATACGTGAAACATATTCCGAAGTCTTTATTCCCATAAATAGTCTCCAAAACGGCATAACTTTGCGAACAATCAGTCATTACTTGAGAATCACTGCTATTATTGTCATTATTATTGGTTTTGTGTCTGAAATGCAATTTTGCCGAACATTTGATGAGTTGTGAAGACTTTATAGTAAACTTGTCATACATTTCACGAAATGTTAGATTTGATAGCAATTGTTGTTTATATGGTTTAAGATATTCATTAATCAAATAATTATTATAGTATTTATATTCCCCACATAATGTGCCTAATAAATGCTTTTTCGTTATTATGTAGCATTCATTATATAAATCATTTGAATGCTGTTTAGCCCAAAGTTTGTATGACTCGTATTCATGGCTTATATTAAAGTGTCGGATAAGCCTTGTCTTATCGAAAAACACATCCCTTTCCGTACAGATAGTAATTGGCGGTAAATTGAAGCCATCATGGGTTTCGACACCAAACTTATAGACATAGGGATAGTGCAGGAAATCTGCGGTTATCTCAAAGCCCTCGTAACATAATATTATGAAACAAACGCTTTCAACAATATTAAATATTTCGATTTTAAATTAGCATTTAGAAAATAATACATTTTCTTTGAAACTAAACTTAAACCGATTATAATATATTTGATTAATATATAAGTTTTCGTTACAAATATATTTAAACTGTTTATAATATATCTGGTTTTCATCGCAAATATACTTAGTAAATCCATTGTATATTTTAAATATAACTAGATTACGATGATAAGAGATACATAACGTTTTATCTCAATATAGAATTATATAATAAATTTGTTATGATTTAAATTGCATTTAGGTCAAACTAAATTACTATAGAAACTAAATAAAATCAACAACAAATAACAATGAAATATTAGTTACACCTATAAATATTTTAAAATATGTTTACTATTATATCAATCATGAATTTATTAAAAAATACTAATATATCTGATGTTGGAAAGCAAATTGAGGTTTATATATAGGCTAAAAATACTTTATACTTTACTCGAAAGCAATGACAAATATTAAAATTTTTAGCCTATATATAATCCTCAATTTGCTTTCTAACATCAGATATAGTGATTATAATTATACATTTGGCGATATTTCATATTATATAGGGAGTTATATTGAATAATTTATTCTACGCTATAAATTATTGTGTTAGGAAATATTATGATAACAATATTAAGTATTTTGATTTTAAATTAGCATTTAGAAAATAATACATTTTCTTTGAAACTAAACTTAAACCGATTATAATATATTTGATTAATATATAAGTTTTCGTTACAAATATATTTAAACTTTTTATAATATATCTGGTTTTCATCGCAAATATATTTAGTAAATTCATTGTATATTTTAAATATAACTAGATTACGATGATAAGAGATACATAACGTTTTATCTCAATATAGAATTATATAATAAATTTGTTATGGTTTAAATTGAGGTTTATATATAGGCTAAAAATACTTTATACTTTACTCGAAAGCAATGGCAAATATTTAAATTTTTAGCCTATATATAAACCTTAATTTGCTTTCTAACATCAGATATAGTGATTATAATTATACATTTGGCGATATTTCATATTATGTAGGGAGTTATATTAAATAATTTATTCTACGCTATAAATTATTGTGTTAGGAAATATTATGATCTAAAAATCAATATTAATTACATGATCCATATAATTAGGGCTGGGAACTATTTTCAAGTACCTGGTGTATAAATAGACAAAATTGAGGTTGGTCAGGTGGACATTGGGAGGATACTTGTTTAACATTTAATTAGTAATTATTTAGTTATTTTATCATCACTCTGGTGTATTTTAAATAAATTTATAAATCCCATTCAAAACATTTCTTAAACAAATGTGAACTGAATTAGTTGATTAAATAAATAACAATTTTAAAATAATATAAATCACTTAAGATAATACCTTGAGTAGTGATAATCTTAAAATTTAAATTTATATCCACAAAAGCAGACATGACTATTTTAAAACCATAATCGATGAAATGATTTCCACATTTCAAACACAAATAAAATTATTGAATAAAAAAATTGAATAAAATTTTTTCAATTAATATATTTTAATGAAAATTTAACATAATTATAATTTGCTATAGGTTATGCATTTGTATTGTTAAATCGTAAATTTTATTTATGAAATTGTGTTTTATAAACTATACCAGAACATATTATAGTTTATCATTAAGCGACATTTACTGGTATATTATAATACAGAACCAATAATATGTAAAATAATTAATTTAATTTTTAAAAGTATTTGCAACTAATAAATTAATTAATAAAAATTAGGGGCATTAATTTAACTTAAAGGTCTGTAAACTGTAAGTATTATATTTTAGACATTGTTTCTGAAAACAAGATTTATACGTTGAATTTTTAAAGTGAAATACTTAATAATAAAGTAAGTACAATTTATAATTATTAATTAGTAACGACATTATTTGACAAAGAATGTGAATGTAGCACAAAATTCACTAAGGTAAACAATAATATTATATGTCTCAAATAAAATGTCACGACTCTCTCGCCGAATAACTCTTGTTTTGATGGCATAACTCATTTAATATTAATTGTTTTTCTGTAAAACTTGAATGCAAAACAACACAATGTTTTGTTTTTAAAATGAGATACTTGTTGTCAATATTTTTTATGTTTTAGTTACAGTTTTTTATCCTTAAAGTTTCGGCAGAATTTAATTCAAAGTTCGTTATTTGTCCTCTCAGGCATAGAAATAGTTGGCAACCCTGTAATTTTTGATATTCCAAATGCCATTAATGTCTAAAATAATTAACTTTATATTATCGTTAAATATTGTTAATGTCAAAATTTTAAAAATTCATTTCATCTACGTAAACTTGTTTGATTCTCAACGTGGCCAAAACTAGCCTATACCTTATATGTTATAATGGATATAGGCTAGTTTTGGCCACATTTAGAATCAAACAAGTTTACTATGTATTTCAAAATTAATAAATTCGTAAACAACATTCTTTATTGTGAAATATATTTTGTAATAATGATATTTTGGTGCACTTTTAAATTATCCTTAACAATAATATGACCATTAGTTTAAATTATTTATTGTTTTGTCTTACGACATATTTTTATAATTATTAGTGATATAATTATAGATAATTATAGTGATATTTATTTGCAGGTATCATTTTGCAAAGTTGCATAATACTAATATAATTATTTTTATATTACTATTTTACAGTAGTATTTAACGATTTTAGTAAATAAATAAATTATTTAATATCTAACAAACCAATCTAATTTTTAGTAAATGTAAATTTTCAGTAAATAAACTAATGTAGATAATACGAAATATAAATGGCGATTCATTATTTTATATTTATTTTGAATGTATTATTATGCAATCGCAAAATAAGCAAGTCACGAATTAAATCTAGCCATTTAAAAATTTATGATCAATGCATCTACCTAATAAAATGATTAAATATGATGTTCAAACCTCAACTGGCACACTCTGTAAATATATTGTGCTAATTATAACTATGTTAAATTAATTATTATAGTTTATGAATAAAATGACAATTCTTATTAATACAATTTAAATACTTATATATTTATAAAAAATTTAATTTTCAAATTACATTAAAATATGAATACAATTTGTGAACTATAAGATATAAAAGTACCTAGAGATTGTGGCTAATTTAAATCACGTGTAGGCCGGTCATTTTATGTAAAAATAAATTAATTAACAATTATCATGAACATTGTGAATATACTATGGAGTGATCACTTATATTAGTACTATTTGAACCGATAATTACAAATATTTTGGATAATCAAATATTATCAATAAATATACCAAAACTTATAAGATATAAATGTTATGAGAGATTGTTAACACGTGTGCGTCTGTTCTGTAGCCCGGTCATTTTATAAAAAAAATAAATGAATTAAAAATTATCAAGAAACTTGTGAATACACTTTGTACTATATTTATTGGTATATCAAACGTACAAATAAATATAATTATATTTATAATTAAATTTAGCTATTGCGTTTTATTAAATATACCAGATCATATCATACCCTTAAGTTACAAATAGAGAATTTAATACGAAACTAATAATATATTGCCTTAAAAGTGTTTAATTTTTAAAAATATTTGTAAATTATCAATTAATAAATTATATAGTCAAATAAAATAATTTCAATTTATAATTGGTAAGCAGAAACAAAATTATTTGGCAAAGAATGTGAAAGTAACACAAAATTCATTGAGAAAAACAATAATTGCCATAAGCAACCCGAATAATAATATGTAGAAAACACCCGCCAAATAATTTACAGATATTGGATTATGCTGAACCTGGCTACTTTCTTGAATCTTGTCATAATCGCGACCAAATCCTTTGGGTGTCATTGACTTTCTTTCTTCGTGATCATAAATACCACTTTCCTGTAGCCTGGTCACTCTAAAAAAATTGTTTATTAGATAAATATACATTGAAATGTGACAGACAAATTTACATATAATCAAAATCGTGTTTATATTCATTTTGAATGGCCCAATAATAAATCATTGAATCATTAGCGACATCAGTAACATGAATATTTATTGCTTCAAAACCGCCAGATTTATACTGGTCAAACATATTTTTATAATTATAATCATTTCCGAACAAATTAAACTGACCATAAGTATCTAAATAATCCACCACCTGGTTCACTAAGTAAACCCCATAATTAGAGGGAATAATTGCCACGGTATTATTTTCC